ATGTCGTATAGCCGTTCGGCTTTTAAGTTGCTGTCTATATAAATAAACACTCCACCTCCTGTTTGGTGTATTCGATCGCTTCGAAAGTGTCATGCCTTTCAAGCTCACTTTGTCGTCTGCAATGTCAGGGGTTAACCATGTTTCAGCTAGGATTATGATCTTGAGATCCATCTGAGGCGCATATTCCTGATTTCTAACAGCTTACCACTTGGTCCTCTTGCGTTGCTATAGGGGCACTTGTTGATTTTTCTCAGAACTTGGTGTGTGGTGGACCAATCAATGTATTATTTCAGAATATCAACAAAGTTATTGAATACAAATAGATGTATATTGAAATATATAGATTAAATGTAATAAATACAATAAAAATGTAAGGACGTTACTTTATACGGCTGCTTGTGCGTGTTCGGTTGTGATTGGTACCAAAAATCCACAATTATAGGAGATTAGTATTACAATTAATGTAAATATCCCTACGGTAGTTTATACGTATGACTGTAGTCTATAAATGTAGACAATATACGTATTAGAATCCGATTAGCGTATTAATGAACGAATGAGAACATAAGTTGTGTGTATAAAGTGTATTTGATAGGCTCAGGCATTGAGTGCCGTTTACGTGTACAACAGAACGGAAAAATCGGGTAGGCAACGTTACTTGTATCCAAGGTAACACACTTAAACAACATGTACAATCATTTTATATTAAATCTACAAACAGTCAAAAATTAACAGAATAAATTCAAAATACGTTTGTCATGCCACCTCCACAGGTGTACCTATGCAGCAACAGTGGTTGACGGATTTTCAGACAAGTTGTTCAAACCGGATTAGGCAGTTCCCACAGAATTGGCTTCTGCATATATCTTGCCTGTGCAGTGTGTTCAATAGGCCAGACTATTAGTGTATCTTGTGTCCGGGATCGTTGATCGAGGTCAACTGTATATTTCGTGCGTTTATTATGGTCTCCTTGCTGTTGTTTCACAGATCTGTGTCAGTTTTCGCAATAAATAACGCGGCCGCCCTTCGACTTATACCAATCTTGAAGCGATCCAGTCATGTCTTCCAGCTCACTCAATTCCACAGCCGCCGGACGTTGTGGCTTAATTGACGTGAGGTGTGACGGGCAAGGTAGCCTAGAAATGTAAATAGCCATCGTGATGAAAGCCTAGGCTACGCGATAGCCGCAGTCACTACCGCACATCATGCACGTGAGCTTCATCCAAGCTACTACCACTCAGTTCGGGCTTGACGTCAACTACGATACCGGTCTGTTGTTGATTGCCTTGTGCTATCCTGGTTGCCTCTGACACTGACCATGATTTATCGGGCCTGATGCAGATCGGAGAGGACAATTTAACCGACAGTCTCTGGAGTGAGAGGAGAATGTCTTCGGCAAGTTGTGCCGAGCCTACTGTAACCTTCATTCAAGAAAATTCATGTTTCGAGCCGTTCTGACTTCTGAAATTGTCGCGTGTTTTGCTGGGGTATTTCACCCTCCAAGGATTTCCCAGTATTTATTCCATTATTCTCTGTGAAAGGCGACCGTACCTTATAATAAGTGAATCTGATCCATTGTTTCTGTACACGAGTGTTTTGAGACCTAGTGTGGGTATTTGGAGAGAGGAAAATACGTGAATTTGGAGTGTTGCGAGTAAGAAGTTAATAGTATATAAATATAACTGCGAAGGGATAGAACTTGAAAATACTTCAAAATTGCAATTTTACCTTTAACCGTTTTAGCAAGGAACTTCGCGTGACTCCAGTAACTTGTCCACACGTCCGGTGTTAGCGAGTGAATGAATGTGCGTATGCTTCCGAAGCAACTGGGAAGAGAGCAGTTGACCGAAACAGCTAGACCTACTGCACAATCGTTCTGAATTGGAATGATTCTGTTTGCCCGAAATTGTATTCAAATTATCAAGCAGTGAATGGAGAAAACTTTTATTTCTTCGTTATTGTTTAAATATCCCAATCTGGTTTCCGAAGATGGATTGTTTCCTGTTAATGAAAACACGTTAACGAGATCACGTCGATATCAAAGCGCGCGCCTCAATATACCTATTATACACTTAGAAGACTAAACATTTGCAAATTTATGTGAAAAATATAGAAAGCCAGTGTATCTTGTGATGAAATTTATCTTTATGAAGAACCTTTTCTAGTTACAAAGCCATCAATTTTCTCCATTCGTTCTCTCCTTGAAAATGGCATGCATCATGTAATATGATGTTTTTTGAGAAAAAATGATTTTTATCACTGACGGAATAGTTCCCGAAATCAACGCCGTGCAAATTTTTTTCAAGAGGGTTGCAACTTATGAGTAGAGGAAGAACAAATATAATATCCTGATTTGTTCAAACACTGGATTTCTAATTAAAAAAGTCACATATGAAATTGAACAAAATCTAATGCTTTGTGTCATTTTGAAGAGAGCTCTCTTAAGCTTGATTCAGAGAATGTAATTCTGCATACAGATTACACTCAAAATGAAATCAGTCTCAAGTTTGGCAAAGTAATGATCTGGAAACCAAACTGATATTATTCTGTTGTGGTTTTACCATTGAATTAAAAGAGCAGTATGTTGAAAAAAACTCATAAAGAACTGAGACAACATCACAGAGGTTTGAGACGGTATTTCATCGGCATACTTGAAAGCTTAACGAATTCATCTAAGGCCATAGCAACAGGTTCTTAGCCTTGCACAATATACTCAATGAACAGGAAACAACAATGGAAAACAATTAGAAAGGGATCAAATAGGCAATCACTTCAACGTGTCAGGAGGTTCTGAACAACAAGAAGCACCACCTTAAGGAATGGATGTTTGTTGATATTTTTGAAAAAAATTGGAGAAAGCCGGAACAAGAAGGCAGCAATAAATGTCGGCTGAACAAGAACAGAGAGAGTCATTCACCAGTCTCACTGAACCCACCCAATATCGAAGCAGCGTCCACGTAACTTCCAATCGATGTTGGTCCACCAACAATTGAAGACTTCAGAATGGCCGTTAGACAAATCAAGGGCGGTGTAATAGCAGAACCAGAAAATCTCTCAGCAGATGCAGTTAAAGCAGATGTCGAAGCAACAGGAAAAACATTCCACACTTTCTTTTGGGATGACGGACAATTACCAACAGACTAAAAAACGATATCTGACCAAAAAACCAAAGAAAAGCTATCTCAGCGAGTGTGAAAACGACATTCCTCAATACCAGAAAAAGTCTCCAATAGGATATGGACAAACAGATTGAAGAACTTCGTGGACTCCCAACTTTGAGATGAACAGGCTGGATTTTGTAAGAACCGATCGTTTACTGACCGAATCGCGACCGTACAGATCTTTATGAAACAACCAATTGAATGGAATTCATCAATCTACATCAACTTCATTGACTACGAAAAAACATTCGTTAGCGGGGACAAGACAACACAATGGACGCTTTTTCGACGCAGCAGAGTGCCTGAGAAAATTGTTAACATCACACGGAATTCTTACGATGGATTAAACTGTAAAATCGTGCACATAGGACAGCTGACAGATTCGCTTGAGGTTAAGACTGGTGTCAGGCAGATTGCTTACTCTCACCCTTCCTTTCCCCCTTGGTGATCGACTGGTTTATGGAGACGAAAATATCTCTAGGAAAGCACGGGATATAACGAACAATCAGGATGCAGCTGGGTGATCTGAATTTTGCAAATGATCTGGCTCTTCTGCCGCACACGCAACAATAAATGCAAGAGTAGACGACTGGTGTTACAGCAGCCTCAGCAGCAGGTTTCAACATACATACAAGGAAAAGTATGATGATTAGAAGTATGTGAATCAAGAACTACGGGATAAGCACGAACGAATGTACTGTATTTAGAAATCGAAATCAAGCATTCAACAACCACAAGAAGTCACTAGTTAATTCAAACACCACATCCGCCACAGCTTAAATTGGAATCCAAGTGTCTGTAATCAATTGCACGTCTTCTTCTCAAATTCATCCTGTGTCTGTCCGACAGTGTATTGGATAAAGACTCTGTATTATCTAGAATGCTCTCATTAATATTAGAATTAAGAACCGAAATTGGAACAGACTCACCTGGTTCCTGGAATTGTATTTGATCAACATGTCGATTGTGTGTACTTAAGTCATTGACATCTAGAAGTCGCACTAGAGATTTCCCGACAATCTTCAGAATAAACCCCGTGGATGGTCGAAGATCATTGTCAGGATAATTTGTGACATCTGCGGACTCCAAACATCACATATCCGACCGAAGAATTCTTCCATTTAATAGTTTTGATGGAGTCGCTTTCGTCACCGAATGTCTCACATATCTATATTGCAGCAGAAAGGTATCTACTCCACTCTCCAGCTCATTATATGTTGAGGAGGCAACAGAATCAATCCACTTCGAATGCTGATTTTTCAGCTTATGACACTTTACGCAATTGTTTGCTGTACGACATATATCTACATTTATTTCTGGCCATCAACACGTGAGCCTCGCCAAGGACTTCATTTCCTCAACACCTAAATTTCCACTATGAAGATCTTCAAGGACAGATTTACGCAATGAAGGAGGAATAACAACAGGATCATTTAAACACAAAATACCATCAGTGGTAGTGGATAGCTCATCCCGCTTTGAAAAAAAGATTAGCATTCCAACCTTTCCGTATAGCATTAATTATACATCCAAAGTTTCTACGAGTTTCTGTAATGAGATCTGTACGTTTCACTGGTAAAGGTTGCACCAACAAACAGTCTGAAGTATTAACAGGTTTATCTTGTAATGACTGTCGAGAAATGTAGTCAACATGTTGAATTTGCTTGGCACTCCTGTGCTGAACCGTTTTCATACTCCATCGCACTTAGCACACGTGGCTATCAAATCTTCAAGTAAAGCATCAGAAGTTTCTTTAGAAACTAGGACAGACAACTCCACCTTAAGTCTTCCCAAATTCTTTAAACCCAGTATTGACAGTCCTGTTTCGCTAACTAAGAATTAACAAGGTATGTATGAGGAATTATCATCTCTCATTAGCAATTCACAACATCCTCGTATAGGCAGTCTGCGTCCAGTAATCCCCAATATTGATACTTCAGTGGGTCTTATCACAACGTTCGGATCTAACGATTTCAAGTTCTTGAATGAAATAATGGACTCTATACTGCCTATGTCCACAATAAAGTCATGAAATGAACCAAGCGATGTATGTAGTCGCTTTTGAATATGAGCATTACCTTTCGAAATGGTAGACAAAGATAAATGATCATTAGGATCAGCTAAATTATTGGAATCTAAATTACAAGCTTTAGTACTACTTGAGGCAAAATGAACAGTAGCTTTGCATACTAGTTGAATGTGTCCTATCTAACCACATCTAAAACATTTAGCATCATGATATGCACATGAATTACGAGAATGAAGTTTTCCACATGATAAACATTTGCCAAACTTGGTCTCACCCTTGTGATTTCCTTTGTAATTCTTTTTTGAGACACCGTTCATATTTACACGAGAATAGGAACCACTGTTAAACGAACACAATTTTGATTGACCCTGAGATTGTTTTTCATCAGGACAACTAATCAAAGTATTGGAAATGTTCATCGACTGAGTATCAAGTTTATTCACATGCAGTTCTAACATCTTGAAAGGAACAGTTTGACATTCTTAACAGCTCTCTTTCCAAACTAGGTATGTTAATTCCTGCAATTAATCGGTCTCTCAGTTGCACACGAAGTTGATCACCGAATTTACATTTGACAGCCTGTTTCTGCAATTCAAGAATGAATTCCTTAACATTTTGGTCATTTTGACGAATCATCTAATGAAATTTTGCTCTTTCACGGCATTCGAAACCAGGGCATTTTCCATGATTCAATAATAACTCCTTAAGCATTGCATAGGGAAGTGAAATAGGTTTTTCTGGATATACCAAGGTTTTTAATAAGCTGTACGCTTCTGTTCCGATGAATGTTAGGAAATGAGCCACAATTTTATCATCTTTGACATCTTTCCTGGTCATACTCCAGATTCCAAACCTTCCCAAATAATCTTCAAAAGCTTCAGAAGTAGAATGAATATTTAATTGTTCCATTACAAGCTCCATCGCGACGCCAGTATGATAATTAGAAGTATGTAAATCAAAAAACTAAAGATATGCACAAACGAATGTATTGTACTTAGAATTCGAAATCAAGCATTCCACAACAACAAGAAGTTACTAGTTCATTCAAACACCACAAGTTTTCAACGTCCTGACAAAATTTTCTGCCTGACCATTGGAACAAGAATGTCTGGAACAGGTGTTTGCACCCTATACCATTTAACCAGGTAGTAACTGCATCTGCAGCAAAATGAGAGCCGTTATCAGTCACTAACACCATTGGAACCCCTTCTCGACTAAACACCTTTCTTAATGCTTGAATTGTGATGTCAGAATTTGGTGAAGTTGTGAAAAAAACTTCAGGCCACTTTGAAAAAGAATCAATGACTACAAGTGCATAGTATTTGCCAAGAAACGGACCACAATAGTCTGCATGAATTCTCTGCCAGGCCTCCGACGATACTGGCCATGGAGTCCACTTCAAATGCTGATTTTTCAGCTTATGACACATTACGCAATTGTTTGCTGTACGACAAATATCTGCCTTTATCTCTGGCCACCAACACGTGAGCTTCGCCAAGGACTTCATTTTCTCAACAACTAAATGTCCACTATGAAGATCTTCCAGGACAGCTTTACGCAATGAAGGAGGAATAACAACACGATCATTTAAACACAAAATACCATCAGGAGTAGTGGATAGCTCATCCCGCTTTGAAAAATAGATAGGAAATCTGCGTTTCAAATTAGCATTCCAACCTTTCCGTATAGCATTAATTATACATCCAAAGTTTCTACGAGTTTCTCTAATGAGATCTGGACGTTTCACTGGTAAAGGTTGCACCAACAAACAGTCTGAAGTATTAACAGGTTTATCTTGTAATGACTGTCGAGAAATGTAGTCAACATTTTGAATTTGCTTGGCACTCCTGTGCTGAACCGTTTTCATACCTCCATTGCACTTAGCACACGTGGCTATCAAATCTTCAAGTAAAGCATCAGAATTTTCTTTAGAAACTAGGAAAGACAACTCCACTTTAAGTCTTTTCAAATTCTTTAAACCCAGTATTGACAGTCCTGTTTCGCTAACTAAAATTCACAAGGTATGTATGAGAAATTATCATCTCTTATTAGCAATTCACAACATCCTCGTATAGGCAGTTTGTGTCCAGTTACCCCAATATTGATACTTCAGTGGGTCGAACTACAGCGTTCGGATCTAACAATTTCAAATTCTTGAATGAAATAATGGACTCTATACTGCCTATGTCCACAATAAAGTCATGAAATGAACCAAGCGATGTATGTAGTCGCTTTTGAATATGAGCATTACCTTTCGAAATGGTAGACAAAGATAAATGATCATTAGGATCAGCTAAATTATTGGAATCTAAATTACAAGCTTTAGTACTACTTGAGGCAAAATGAACAGTAGCTTTGCATACTAGTTGAATGTGTCCTATCTAACCACATCTAAAACATTTAGCATCATGATATGCACATGAATTACGAGAATGAAGTTTTCCACATGATAAACATTTGCCAAACTTGGTCTCACCCTTGTGATTTCCTTTGTAATTCTTTTTTGAGACACCGTTCATATTTACACGAGAATAGGAACCTCTGTTAAACGAACACAATTTTGATTTACCCTGAGATTGTTCTTCATCAAGACAACTAATCAAAGTATTGGAAATCTTCATCGACTGAATATCAAGTTCATTCAATGCCTCGTAGTTAATGCACGCAGTTCTAACATCTTGAAAGGAACAGTTTGACATTCTTAACAGCTCTCTTTCCAAACTAGGTATGTTAATTCCTGCAATTAATCGGTCTCTCAGCTGCACATGAAGTTGATCACCGAAATTACATTTGACAGCCTGTTTCTGCAATTCAAGAATGAATTCCTTAACATTTTGGTCATTTTGACGAATCATCTTATGAAATTTCGCTCTTTCACGGCATTCAAAACCAGGGCACTTTACATGATTCAATAATAACTCCTTAAGCATTGCATAGGGAAGTGAAATAGGTTTTTCTGGATATGCCAAGGTTTTTAATAAGCTGTACGCTTCTTTTCCGATGAATGTTAGGAAATGAGCCACAATTTTATCATCTTTGACATCTTTCCTGGTCATACTCCAGATTTCAAACCTTTCCAAATAATCTTCAAAAGCTTCAGAAGTAGAATGAATATCTAGCTGTTCCATTACAAGCTCCATCGCGACGCCAGTATGATAATTAGAAGTATGTAAATCAAGAACTAAAGATATGCACAAACGAATGTATTGTATTTAGAATTCGAAATCAAGCATTCCACAACAACAAGAAGTTACTAGTTCATTCAAACACCACAAGTTTTCAACGTCCTGACAAAATTTTCTGCCTGACCATTGGAACAAGAATGTCTGGAACAGGTGTTTGCACCCTATACCATTTAACCAGGTAGTAACTGCATCTGCAGCAAAATGAGTGCCGTTATCAGTCACTAACACCATTGGAACCCCTTCTCGACTAAACACCTTTCTTAATGCTTGAATTGTGATGTCAGAATTTGGTGAAGTTGTGAAAAAAACTTCAGGCCACTTTGAAAAAGAATCAATGACTACAAGTGCATAGTATTTGCCAAGAAACGGACCACAATAGTCTGCATGAATTCTCTGCCAGGCCTCCGACGATACTGGCCATGGAGTCCACTTCAAATGCTGATTTTTCAGCTTATGACACATTACGCAATTGTTTGCTGTACGACAAATATCTGCCTTTATCTCTGGCCACCAACACGTGAGCCTCGCCAAGGACTTCATTTTCTCAACACCTAAACGTTCACTATGAAGATCTTCCAGGACAGCTTTACGCAATGAAGGAGGAATAACAACACGATCATTTAAACACAAAATACCATCAGGAGTAGTGGATAGCTCATCCCGCTTTGAAAAATAGATAGGAAATCTGCGTTTCAAATTAGCATTCCAACCTTTCCGTATAGCATTAATTATACATCCAAAGTTCCTACGAGTTTCTCTAATGAGATCTGGACGTTTCACTGGTAAATGTTGCACCAACAAACAGTCTGAAGTATTAACAGGTTTGCCTTGTAATGACTGTCGAGAAATGTAGTCAACATTTTGAATTTGCTTGGCACTCATGTGCTGAACCGTTTTCACACCTCCATTGCACTTAGCACACGTGGCTATCAAATCTTCAAGTAAAGCATCAGAATTTTCTTTAGAAACTAGGAAAGACAACTCCACTTTAAGTCTTCTCAAATTCTTTAAACCCAGTATTGACAGTCCTGTTTCGCTAACTAAAATTCACAAGGTATGTATGAGGAATTATCATCTCTTATTAGCAATTCACAACATCCTCGTATAGGCAGTCTGCGTCCAGTAATCCCCAATATTGATACTTCAGTGGGTCGTATCACAACGTTCGGATCTAACGATTTCAAGTTCTTGAATGAAATAATGGACTCTATACTGCCTATGTCCACAATAAAGTCATGAAATGAACCAAGCGATGTATGTAGTCGCTTTTGAATATGAGCATTACCTTTCGAAATGGTAGACAAAGATAAATGATCATTAGGATCAGCTAAATTATTGGAATCTAAATTACAAGCTTTAGTACTACTTGAGGCAAAATGAACAGTAGCTTTGCATACTAGTTGAATGTGTCCTATCTAACCACATCTAAAACATTTAGCATCATGATATGCACATGAATTACGAGAATGAAGTTTTCCACATGATAAACATTTGCCAAACTTGGTCTCACCCTTGTGATTTCCTTTGTAATTCTTTTTTGAGACACCGTTCATATTTACACGAGAATAGGAACCTCTGTTAAACGAACACAATTTTGATTTACCCTGAGATTGTTCTTCATCAAGACAACTAATCAAAGTATTGGAAATCTTCATCGACTGAATATCAAGTTCATTCAATGCCTCGTAGTTAATGCACGCAGTTCTAACATCTTGAAAGGAACAGTTTGACATTCTTAACAGCTCTCTTTCCAAACTAGGTATGTTAATTCCTGCAATTAATCGGTCTCTCAGCTGCACATGAAGTTGATCACCGAAATTACACTTGACAGCCTGTTTCTGCAATTCAAGAATGAATTCCTTAACATTTTGGTCATTTTGACGAATCATCTAATGAAATTTCGCTCTTTCACGGCATTCAAAACCAGGGCACTTTACATGATTCAATAATAACTCCTTAAGCATTGCATAGGGAAGTGAAATAGGTTTTTCTGGATATACCAAGGTTTTTAATAAGCTGTACGCTTCTTTTCCGATGAATGTTAGGAAATGAGCCACAATTTTATCATCTTTGACATCTTTCCTGGTCATACTCCAGATTTCAAACCTTCCCAAATAATCTTCAAAAGCTTCAGAAGTAGAATGAATATTTAATTGTTCCATTACAAGCTCCATCGCGACGCCAGTATGATAATTAGAAGTATGTAAATCAAAAACTAAAGATATGCACAAACGAATGTATTGTATTTAGAATTCGAAATCAAGCATTCCACAACAACAAGAAGTTACTAGTTCATTCAAACACCACAAGTTTTCAACGTCCTGACAAAATTTTCTGCCTGACCATTGGAACAAGAATGTCTGGAACAGGTGTTTGCACCCTATACCATTTAACCAGGTAGTAACTGCATCTGCAGCAAAATGAGTGCCGTTATCAGTCACTAACACCATTGGAACCCCTTCTCGACTAAACACCTTTCTTAATGCTTGAATTGTGATGTCAGAATTTGGTGAAGTTGTGAAAAAAACTTCAGGCCACTTTGAAAAAGAATCAATGACTACAAGTGCATAGTATTTGCCAAGAAACGGGTCACAATAGTCTGCATGAATTCTCTGTCAGGCCTCCGACGATACTGGCCATGGAGTCCATTGCGAATGGTGATTTTTCAGCTTATGACACTTTTCGCAATAGTTTGCTTTACGAGAAATATCTGCATCTATCTCTGGCCACCAACACGTGAGCTTCGCCAAGGACTATATTTTCTCAACACCTAAGTGTCTTCTATGAAGATCTTCCAGGACAGATTTACGCAACGATCATTTAAACACAAAATACCACCAGGAGTAGTGAATATCTCATCGCGCTTTGAAATATATATAGGGAATCTACGTTTCATATTAGCATTCCAACCTTTCCGTATAGCATTAATTATACATCCAAAGTTTCTACGAGTTTCTCTAATGAGATCTGGACGTTTCACTGGTAAAGGTTGCGCCAACAAACAGTCTGAAGTATTAACAGGTTTATCTTGTATTAATTGTCGAGATATTTAATCAACATGTTGATATTGTTTGGCACTCCTGTGCTGAACCATATAGTCATAGGCACTCAAAGCAATACTCCGTCGTTGAACCATAGCAGCTGAGTCATGTGCTAAGCATTTTTCAGGATGATAAATAAACTGCAAAGCCTCATGATCAGTTACAATAGTGAATTTCTTTCCCAATAAATATTTATGGAGTCTTTTAACAGCCCAAAACACAGCTGATGCCTCCCGCTGAATCTGTGAATAGCCTTCTTCAGTAACAGTAAGCTTGCGTGAAACACAAATAACTGGTCTAAGTTCCTGTTCCAAAACTGCGCCAATAACCACAGGTGATGCATCAGCGATAAGTACAGACTGTACACTAGGGGAGTAAGTTCGAAGAGCTGCATCACCTTGAAGAAACTTTAGTAGACTACGAAATCAAGCATTCAACAACCACAAGAAGTCACTAGTTAATTCAAACACCACAAAAAGCAAGATTCTGGAATACTACACAACATGCGCCAACCAAATCTCTCTTGATGTACACACCTTGGAGAACGTTTACACCCTAACATATCTGGGCAACAATCAAGGTAAATCGGATGCAGATATGTGGGCGCAGATCGGCAAAGCAAAGACTGCATTTCTACAGTTGAAAAATATATGGAACCGCAAACAGATATCAATGAACACCAAATTAAAAATTTTAGATAGAAATAGATAGACAGTTCATCTGTATAAAGCGGAAACTTGGAGAACTACGAAAGTCATCATCCAATGGATACAAGTATTTATAAACAGTTGTCGACGCAAAATACTTTGGATCCGTTGGCCAGATAACATCAGCACCAACTTACTGTGTTAGTTAAAAAACCAGGTTTCAGTAGAGAAGGAAATCAGGAAGAAGCGCTGGAAGTGGATAGGAAACACAGTGCAAAAAGCACGCAACTGCGTCACAAGGCAAGCCGTCGCATGCTACCTTGAGGGTTAAAGGAAAAGAGGAAGGTCAAGGAACACAGTGGACCAAGAAATAGAGAAAGACATGAGAAAAATGAACAAAAATTGTCGGATCTAGTAAGCGAGGCTCAGAAAAGAGTAGGCGGTCGAAGTATCATCACTAACGGACATGTGGAACCGTAACGAAAGAACAAGAATCGAGCATAAGAATATCAGTTGGTTGATACTAGTTCGTGTAATGATATTGTAGATACATGTTTATCTCAATATGTTTGAAATAAATTAATACTGTCACTTTTCAAAAAAACTCACGTAATGAACTGCATACAAAGTTCTCAAAGAGAATGGC